CATGGGTTCAATCCGCAGCACAGGGGGAAAACATTATGCATTCCACCCCCACTAGGATGCCAGAAAAATCATAATAGTTATATTATAGTGAGAATATGGGGGAAACTGGAGCTCCTGAACATTGCTGGGAGGAATCTAAAGTGATGGAAAACAGTTTGGCAATTCCTCAGAAAGTTAAAACATAGAATGATTATATGACCTAGCAATTCCATGCCAGGTATAAACCCAAGAAACTGAAAAGAGGCACTTAAGCCAATTCAGGACCACCACAGCACCGTAGCCCAAAGGTGGAAAAAACTGAATCCTCGTGTGCAGACATCCGGAGAAACAGACTGCGGTCGATCCATATAATGAGTCACCCGTAAGTGGAAGGAAGTACCAACACTCGTTAGCATGTAAATGAACCTCGAAAACATGATCCTAAATCAAAGAAGCCAGACACTGGTGCACACCTGTAATCCCAGTGATGTGGGAGTCTGAGGCAGGAGGATTGCAAGTTCGAGGCCAGCCTCAGCAATTTAGCAAGGCCCTCAGCAACTTAGCGAGACCCTGTCTCAAAATAAAAAATAAAAAGGGCTGGGGATGTGGTTCCGTGGTTAAGTGCTCCCGGGTTCAATCCCCAGTACCAAAAGGAAAAAAAAAAGCCAGATGCAAAAGGCCACATATTGTATGATTATATTTATATGAAATACCTGGAAGAATGATTTAATCCAGAGACAAAATGCAGATTGGTGGTGGTGGTTGCCAGGGAATGGTGGGCCGGGGAATGGGAACAGCAACTTAATGGGAGCAACCACCTTTTGAGTGTTGAAGATGTTTTGAAACTACCTGGAGATGGTGGATGCACAACAGTGTGAATGTCGTAGATGCCACTCAATTGTTTACTTCAAAATTTTGCCTGGTGCAGTGGCACACTCCTGTAATCCCAGTGGCTCGAGAGACTGAGGCAGGAGGATCTTGAGTTCAAAGCCAGCCTCAGCAAAAGTGAGGTACTAAGCAACTCAGTGAGAACTTGTCTCTAAATAAAATACAAAATAGGGCTGGGGATGTGACTCAGTGGTTGAGCGCCCCTGAGTTCAATCCCCGATACCCTCCCCAAAAGTTGATTTTATAAAGCTATGTGCACGTCAGCTCAATTTAATTTTTTTTTAATTGTTAACTCCATAAGAGCACTTGACTAGAAACAAATTATGCTGCATCAAACAGAATGGTATGTGGCTGTTAAAAATTCAAGGACATTTTAATGATGTGGGGAAATATTTACAATATAACACTACTTACAATATAACACTAATGGGATGAAAATTATATATGCAACACTATGCCAATTATGTTAAATAAAAGGTGCACAGAAGAATATATAAAAATACTAAAATGTTTGTAATTAAAAGATTCTTACTTTCACTTTTCAAGTACCTGCTAAGCACTGTGCACAGGAAGCCAGGTGAATGGGACTCCTGGGGCAGAAGCCACAGGGTCTGGGAGAATGGCCTTGAGTCTAGAGAGAGAGGCAAGGTCAGCACAACTGGGTTCTTCTCTCTTCTCTGCACCAGTCTCCCTGGGCGGCCTACCCAGGGCTAAGCACTCCTCTCACAAAGGGTATGGTGACAGTGCCCCCTTCTGAGAGCGGTCCAGCTCTCAGTGTTTTCCTCAGGAGACACCTGCCCACGTGCCCAAGGCCACCCATCCCCAAAGATCCCAGCGATGTTGTTTTAGTGAGCACCTGGGACCACCCCATGTCCATCAACAGGGAAGGAGAAAAAATGTAGGAAGGTCCTCTGATGGCACCACGGCAGTTAAAAGAAATGAACTGGACCTCTGTTTCCCATCCTGGAGAGATCCTGACAATTTAATGACCAATAAAGGGGAAAGAAAAGGAAATTGCAGACTCTCACAGTTTATAGTACTTACCTTCAATAGTTCCCCCTAACCCACAATTTAGTTTTCTACAGTTTTGGTTACCTGCACCAACAGCAATCTGAAAATATTAAATGGAAAATTCTAGAAATAAACAATTCTTTTTTTGGTACCAAGAATTGAACCCAGGGGCACTCTACCACTGAGCCAGCCACACCCCAGCCCTATTTTATATTTTATTTAGAGAAAGGGTCTCACTGAATTGCTAAGCACCTTGCCATTGCTGAGGCTGGCTTTGAACTCGCGATCCTCCTATCTCAGCCTTCTGAGCTGCTGGGATTACAAGCGTGTGCCACCAGGCCTGGCTAGAAATAAACAATTCTTAACTTTCAAATGGTGCTCACTTTTGAATAGCATGATGAAATCTACACTACCTCCCTGCATCCATGAGGGAAAGTGAATGATTCAATCCTTTGTCCAGTGTATTCCTGCTTTATATACTACCCACCCATTAGTCATTTAATTTTTTTTTTATACCAGGGATTGAACCCAGGGGTGCTTTACCACTGAGCCACATCCCTAACACTTTATATTTTTTATTTTGAGAAGGGGTCTCACTAGATTGCCTACAACTTTGCTAAATTGCTGAGGCTGGCTTCAGCCTCCTGAGCCAATGGGATTATAGGTGTGCACTTTGAGCCTGGCTTCTTCTTTAGTGGGTTTTTTTTTTGTGTGTGTGCTGCTGGGGATTGAACCCAGGGCCTTGTGCATGCAAGGCAAACACCCTACCAACTGAGCTATATCCCCAGCCCACTTCTTTGGTTTTGATTATTGTCAGATCAACTGTGATGGTGCCACAGTACTTGTGTTGAAGTAACTTTTTTTTTTTTTTTTGTATTGAAGAGTAAACCCAGGGACACTTTACCACTGAACTACATCTCCAGCCCCCTTTCTAAAAATTTTTAAATTTTGAGACAGGGTCTTGCTAAATTGCTGAGGATCTAAGTTGCTGAGACTGGCCTAGACCTTGTGATCCTCCTGCCTCAGCCTCCCGTGTCACTGGAATTCCAATCATGCACCGGAATACCTGTCAAGTAACTCTTATTTTACTTAAATGGTCCCAAAGCAGCAGAATACAGATGCTGGCAATTCAGATATGCCCAAGAGAAGTCGTAAATTAATGAACCTGTAGGGTTCAGTATTATCCATGGTTCCAGGCATCTACTGAGGGTCTTGGAATGCATCCCTTGTGGATTAGGGAACGCTGCTGTAGGTCTCCAAAACAGAAACAACTCTGTGCATTCTTCTGTGTTCCTACAGGTGCAATAAATCTTAAAGCGCAAACCAGAAGGACTGCAATCCACAGCACTGGTTGCCTCCGGGGATGGAAACGGGACTGAGGGACGCAGGGTGGGGGCTTAAATTGTATGTTTAGTGATTTTATTTTTTAAAAATACAAAGCATACAGGACAAAATGCTGACATCTGTTAATTCTGGGTGATGGATTCCTGGGGTAGTTACTGTATCACCCCCCTTTGCTTTTCTGTGTTTTAACACCATGCAACCACACCCCTGCCCACACTCCCCCCCAAAAAAAGGAGAAGGAAGGAAAAAAAAACATGAAATAAAGTAACATCTCTACTGTGGTCCTTCTGTGCCAGCCAAGTGGTTCTGAAAGTGGGGTCCCTGGCAGCATCAGCATCCCCTGCACCAGATCTCCTGAATCAGAATCTCTCGTGTCAGGGCTGGCATTGAGGGTTGTTTTTTTTTTTTTTTTTTAAATATTTTTTCTTAGTTGGACAGTTATTTTATTTATTCACTTATATATGGTGCTGAAAATTGAACCCAGTGCCTCACCTGTGCTAGACAAGCGCTCTACCGCTGAGCCACAACCCCAGCATTATGATGAATGAGGACCCAAGTTTGAGAACCATTGGGCCAGACCTATGAGCAATCCATGTGACAATACCCCACATAGCTGAGAGCTTTTCCTTCAGTACTTAATTTAGTCTTCACAGTGACCTCAGGAAGGAGCATTCCCAATCCAAAATCTGAAACTTTTTGAGCACTGACAGGACACCATAAATGGAGAATCCCACAAATGGCCTCAAGGGACCGGATCACCATCAAAACTTGGGTGCACTAAAAATATTGTACCAATTCCCTTCAGGCTATGTGTTCACGAAACATACATGAATTTCACTTGTAGACTTGGGCCTCCTCCCCCAGGGTATCTCATCCCGTGTTTGCAAATAGTCAAAAATCTGGAAATATCTGAAATCCAAAACACTTCTGGATTTTCAGATAAAGGATACTCAGCTTGTATTATTATTACCATCCCCACCAGATGGTTATGGAAACTGAGGCACAGAAAATGCAAATACCTTGCCCAGGGTCCAATAGACAATTTGCTCCCGAGTCCCCTCCCCTGCCCACTACACTGTCTCCCATACATCACCTCGAAGATACCTTGAAAGGAAGACAAAATAGCCCATTTTACAGGCGAGGAAATTGGAATTTAGAGAGGAGGAGAGTGACTTGCCCAAGGTCTCACAGAGTTGATTGAGGAGGCAGGTTGTGGGCCTTGACCTAGAGGCCTGCTGGGGGTCGGAGCCGGTGGCACCGGGTACGGGTGAGGAGGAGGACTGAGCTTAGAGGACTGAGCTTAGAGATCCAGCTGCAGCCCCGCCTGGGTGTGTCTCTCACGCCACGCCTGTGCCCAGCTGCCTCAGTCCCCACGCTGGCTGCCAACCCAGCGTAACCCACCCCCACTGGGAACCGTCAGGGCCTTCCCCTCGGGGCTTCTCTTTTTCTTTTTCTTTTGCAGAAGGGGAACCTGGACGGTCCAGAGAAATAGCAGCTCCAGCAAAAAGTCACTCCACAGTCCAAACTTCCCGTTTCTCTGAGGATCCCAGGTTCGCAGCTAGGCGGCGGCGTTCCACCCTCACCTGGTCACCCGGCACTGGCCGGCGACCCCTCCTCCCCAGACCCCTCGGCCGCTCCCCTGACGTTCCCTTCTCCACTCACTGCCTCCAGCTGCATCCATCGAGAGCCTAGCCCTCGGCCCCAGGTTCCCCGCGCCCAGCCAAGACCCAGCGGAGCTCACGGTCCAAGTGGCCCCCAGCCCCGGTCGCAGCACTCACCTGGGCGCCCGCTCTTCTTCTCGCGGGCAGCCCGGATCCTCGCAGCTCCAGCGCCCCCCCAGCTCAGCAGCTCCCGGGGCCCGGGGCACCCGAGCCCAGAAGAAGATGGGCTGACTGTGGAGATCAGGAGGCTGGGGCCACTCCGGGGGCGGCGGCTTCTGCCTCGCGGGTCCTCTTGGGCTCTCCCAGCGCTGGACTGTCCGGTCCCACTCGCCTCTAAACCTACTCTGCGCCCCCGGGCTGGAACCAAGAACCCGGTGGCGCCCACAGGCCATCTGAAAGCCTTAGCCGCGCCCTGAACGATGCAAACCCCGCCCCCAAAGTGTCCTGCCACCACCCTCTAAGATTAACCCCAGCCCAGGGATCACAACCAGTTCCCCAAGGTTCCTAACCTGTCTCCTGCTCCCAGTACCCTTATCTCACCTCGAGTGATCTTTTTAAAAACCCCACCCATCGAGACTTCTAACTGCCCCCAAGGACGTTAACCCCGTCCCTGGGGGACCCTAAGCGCCACAGACCCGAACCCTAACTCCCACCCTCCTCTTTCCCAGTTTCCCACGCTTCCCCTTTTATATATTCCCTTCCCCGGATTTTCCAAACCTGAGTCCAAAGAATTCTAACCCAGCCTCCAGTGATTTCTAACCCGCTGGTCCAAGAACCCCAGGACCTGGTATCCTCCTCCCAAGATCCTAATCCTGCCCCCCCCAAGGATTTTTTGCTTTCACATCTACATCTGAAGGATTTTTAACCTGCCCCTTTCCCCAAAGATTCTAATCCAGCCAACCAAGAATACTAATCCCTGTCTTCAAAGGATTCTAACCAAGTCCAGTGCCCTGGCAGACACCCATAATCGCTACCACTGGAGAGGCTGAGGCAGGAGGATCTCAAATTTGAGGCCAGTCTGGGCAATTTAGCAAGGCCTTGTCTAAAAAATAATCAAACAAATAAAACGAAAGGACTGTGGGTGTAGGAGAGACTGTTTCAATCCCTGGTCTGAAAACAACACAAAACACCAACCAAACAAGAGCCCCCCAAACTTACCCTGTTCTCAAGATTTATAACCCTAACCTGGAGGACTTTTTTGGGGGGTGAGGTGGGGGGCATGGGCATTGAACCCAGGGACACTTAACAACTAAGCAACATCTCTAGCTTTTTTTTTTTTTTTTTTTTAGGGTCTCCATAGATTGCTTAGTGTCTCACTAAATCTCTGAGGCTGGCTTTGAATTCACCGTCCTCCTGCCGCAGCCCCCCACCCCCACCCCCAGCTGCTGGGATTACAGGCCTTCCTCCCCAGCCCAGGTTACTGACCTGGGACTTCTAATTGCTCCTGGCTGATTCTCCAATTCCTTCTGCCCCAAGAGTTTTATTGAATCTCCAGGATTCTAACCCTCACCACCCCCAAAATCTCAACCTGGCCCTTTAGGGATTCTGACCTCTCCTGTTAAAGGATTCCTAGCCTCTCTTACTCTACCGCCTCCTCACTGTTAGAGGAGTCTAACTGCCCCATCCCAAATTTTCTGTTCTGTTTCTCGCATTCCAATCCCTCCCTTCTCACCTGGCCCCTCCCCCACTGTGTGGTTAGCAGCCCCCTCCCCCCTCCCAGCGCTATTCAAATACCATGCAAAGTCCTGCCCACAGGAACCTCCTTGGGGTCCTCCTGGCCAGGGTTCAGGACAACTCAAGGACTTCCCAAATTGACAGGGGAGAGAGGGCTTGACTGCAGGTGACGGAATCCCCAAGTGGATTAGATGTGCCCAGCTCCCAGAAAAGATAAGGACTGTCACCCGTGGAACACACCTCCAAAACCTATAGGAGTCCTCCTGCGTCTGTCTCTGTGTTTCCACTGCTGTCGGCCCATCCAGGTCACCATGGTCTCTCCTTCATGCGCTTAAGATGCATCCATCCGGTGCTGGGCTCTGCTCCGGAAGCTGGTCTGCAGAGCTTCTCAGACTCAGCTCCGTGGAAATTTGGCTGCATAATTCATTATCGTGGACCCTCCTGGGCGAACTGGGATGTTTAATAGCTCTCCTGGGCTGTGCTCACCAGGAGCCAGTAGCACCCCTTTCCCCATTTGTGACAACCAAAGACGTATCCATACATGCCAAATGTCCCCTGAGTTGGCAGAACCATGAAAAAGAAAGACAAGACCTTTTATGAGTTCAGTAAATGAGCTTGACTATATATACAGATATATCATATGTGTGTGTATGTATGCATACATGCCCTTTTAAAAATAGGCAATATGTGAGTGTGTGTTCAATTTACTTGAGTGGTACTTACTCAACTTGTTCTTCTCACTCGTCACAGTTGCTGACATGTAGCCAGCTGTGAATGTGACAGCGGTGGAGTCCTAGGTCACGGACACCCAGGCTGCACACAATGTCTAACTACTGTAAACGATGCCACGGGGACATTCTCACACGCTTCCCCTGAGGGACTCAGGTGAGAATTTTGCAAAGACTTGTTTTGCCACGAGTGACAGGAACATGCAGGATGGCCACTGTCCTGCTCTCTCTCCCGCCATTTCCCCATACCTTTACCAACCCTTGGTGTCTGTCGTCCACTGGGCCTAATCTGTGTTCCTCAGACACAGACCCTGGAGGATTGACATGGCAGTCGTGGACAGTAGCTTGGGAGACAGAAAACGCTGGTCGGGAAGAGGGAGGACCAGAGAGAAGGGGAGGGAGGGAGCCTGACCAGCGCGTTTCCATCGGGGGGCAACTGGATGAGCCGGGACGCGCTGGAGGCAGCGGGGCGTATCCAGTGTAGGGTCCCACCCGGGAGGAGGGAGCTGGGCACGTCTACACCGACGCCCTCCCGTGAGGCACTGGAGAGGGCTACGTGGAGGGCATCAGGCCTCTGGCATCGCCAGCCTGCTGCCTGCTCTCCCAGTCCCCAGAGCCTCCAAGGGCAGAAAGGCAGGTCCTGGGTCGGGGCATCTGCATCAGCCACCTGCAAAGGGCCACAGAGAGCTGAGACGTCCTCCTCCTCAAGGACAATTGACCCATATTCTTTACTATCAAAGCAATGTTGCAATCAAATCCTTGTGCGTGTTCCCAAAGCTCCCATCAACTTTATCATAACAGAATCCTTTTCCTGTGTTTTTTTTTTCTTTTTGTACCAGGGATTGAACCCAGAGGCACTTTACCACGGAGCCCCATCCCCAGCCCTTTTTATTTTTTATTTGAGACAGAGTCTCGGTAAGTTGCTGGGACTGGTTTTCTGGTCTTCCTGCCTCAGCTTCCTGAGTCCCTAGGATTATGGGCGTGTGCTACTGTGCCTGACCAGCATAATTAAAAAAAAAATTGTAGTTGTATATGGACAGAAGGCCGTTATTTTATTTGTTTCACTTTTTAATGTGGTGCTAAGGATCAAACCCAGTGCCTCACATAGGTGAGGCAGGCGCCCTGCCACTGAGCTACAGCCCCAGCCCTGGCATAATTTTTATAAATAAAAAGTACCATAATAAATATTCAGCTTGATGAGTTTTGACAAATAGACACCTCTGTAACTAACCACCACTCCAGTCAAGATATGAACATTTCCATTATCCAGAAACAGTCCCTTACAGTCTATTACAGTCAACTTGTCCCACCCTTAGGTGGCCTGAGGTAACAGGGCATTGATTGGCCTTTTTGTCATTATAGATTAACCTTGTCTTGTCTAGAATTTTACATAAAAGCATTCCTACGTATTTATTTAATATTTATCTTCTTCCACTTGCTTTTGAGGTTTTCTTTTTTTTTCCACTAGTTTGTTCCTTTTCAGGGCTGAGTAGTATTCCATTGTATAGATGTGCCACTGTCAGTTTATTCATTTACTTGTTGATGGGCCTTTGGGTTGTCTTTGGTTTTTGTTGTGTAAATAAAGCTGCTATGTATAAGTCTTTGTATGGATATATTTTTATTTCTATTGAGTAAATACTTAGAATTGTTGGATCATAGAGTAAGTGTATATTAATAAAATTCATAATAAAATCCACAACTAATGTGCAAGTTTATAATAAACTGTGCATGTTTAACTTAACAATAGACTGTTTTCAAAGAGGTTATATCACTCTGTGTTTCCATTAGCAATGTGTGATTTCCAGTTGTTCCACATCCTTGCCAACATTTGATATTGTCATTCCTTTCTAAAAAAATTTTTTCTAGTTGTAGATGGACACAACACCTTTATTTCATTTATTTAAATCTATGTGGTGCTGAGGATGGAACCCAGTGCCTCACATGTACCAGGTGAGCGCTCTACCACTGAGCCACAACCCCAGCCCCTGTTATTCTTTTTAATGAAAAAAATTTTCTCCTCTAACTTTGATATTTGCTTCAAAGAACATTTGTATAATTATGAATTTTATTCTAAAACACTGGTCTTTGGAGTGACAAACATTTTTTCTATTCATTCATTCATTCATTCATTTCTTGTCCTAGGATATAAAGCTGGTCACAGAGGTAGAGCTCAACACTTCATCTCGAGTCAGACTGGAGTTCACACCTTGGCTTGCCATCTGCCAACTGGGTGATAGTGTGCAACCCAAGTCACCTCTCTGAGCTTGTTGCTTCATCTGTCAAGAGGGAATAAAATTAATGCTTACCTTAGAAGGTCATTGCAAAAATCAAATGTAAGTAAAAAGTGCTTAAGCACAGTATGTGTACCAGTCAATCTCCTTTTGTTGTTGTTTGTTTGTTTTGTTGGCATTGAACTCAGGAGCACTTAACCACTGAGCCACATCCCCAGCCCTTTATTTTATTTATTTATTTTGGTATTTTTATTTAGGGGCAGGGTCTCATTAAGTTGCTTAAGGCCTCACTAAGTACCTGAGGCTGGCTTTGAGTTGTGCTGCCTCAGCCTCAGGAGCTGCTGGGATGACAGGGATGTGCCACGTGCCTGGCTAGATACGCAGTGTCTTCGGTAGAACCTCTGTCTATGTCATTAAGTTTTATACTGCTGCTTGGACACTGATTCCAGCACACTTTGGAAGTCACCTCTGGTGCAACCTGCTTTGTTCCAAAGAAGAAATAGATTTTTTCTTTTTTTCTTTTTTTTTTTTAAGTATTTTCCTTCAGATAATGGATCCTTTTGACCATGGATACAAAGAACCCTGGAATGACTTTTTCTGGGCCTGAAGTCAAGTGATCTCAGTGGGTCTTGGGCAGGACTCTCATCCCCCTTCCCCGCATTTGCAGCCTGAGCGTGGCATTTGGTGTCTCTGATTCTCTCAGTCAACAAACATTTATGGAGCACCTTCTGAGTCTGGGTGTCTGAATGGTGTCAGGGAAACAGAGGA